CCTGCTGCCGAGGGACCTCCCGCCACCACGGGCTGCGGACTCGCGCAGAGGGGAGCCTGCGGGTGCGGGCGCGCCAGGGTGCACGCAGAGGAGGGGCGGAGCCTTACTTTTAGGGCTGCTCTGGCTGTCTGGCTCCGGCACCTTCCAGTCCATCTTGCGGCCCTTCTCATAGAGGCCCTTGAGCACTTTGCGGAAGTCGTCAGGCTCCGTGGTGTTCTTGCTCAGCTCCAGGTACTTCCTGTAGAGCTGCAGAGCCGTCCGGGCGTCCTCGATGCAGGGTGCACGCAGAGGAGGGGCGGAGCCTTACTTTTAGGGCTGCTCTGGCTGTCTGGCTCCGGCACCTTCCAGTCCATCTTGCGGCCCTTCTCATAGAGGCCCTTGAGCACTTTGCGGAAGTCGTCAGGCTCCGTGGTGTTCTTGCTCAGCTCCAGGTACTTCCTGTAGAGCTGCAGAGCCGTCCGGGCGTCCTCGATGCTGTCGTGCGTCTCGCCCTGGATCTTCAGGTCTGGGGGTGCAGGGAGGTGCCGGTCACAGAGGGCACGACAGCCCTGGCCCCAATTCCCAACCCCCATGGCAGCCTCCAAACCAAGGGATTTCCTCTCCCTCCTGCTGATGGGCAGGCCCGTGGCCCATCTCCACTGGCGCTCGGCTGCTGCACTGACGTCTAACCCCACCCCGGCGATAGGGTCTCCTCTGCCCCACAATAGCAGAGCCCACCCCCAGCGCTGAGTTCTGGGGGCAGGGCGGGGCAGGAGGAGCCTTCGTCGCCAAGCGGCCAGCGCTGCCCAGGCCCTGGCGTCGGGGCTGGTGTCCAGCTGGGCTCCCATGCAGCCCTGCCTGGCTGGGCTAATTGCAATCTAGGCGTTTCCACTAACCCAGGAAGTACCAGGCAAGGAAGCGCAGGGAAATCATCCTCTTCCTCGGCATGTGGAACAAGTACACGGTGTCGATTACTTGGTCCTTGGGCACCTGGGGAGCAGAGAGAGCCTGAACACCCAGGGGAGGCCAGGCTAGCTCCCCAGCCCACCCCAACCATCCAGCCTGCACGCAGCTCCACCGCCCCTGCAATCCCACTGCCCGGCCAGCGAGCCCACCCCACAGGGAGGCAGGGGAGCTCCGCCCCGGAAGGGAACTGAATGTGGGTCTGCTGGGGGGTGTCAGAAGGGAAAGTCACCATGAGGTTGATGACCCGGAAGTCCTTCTGCAGCCCATGGCCCACGAACTTGACCCCCACATCGATGAGGAAGCGCAGCTTCAGGTAGGTGGACTTGAGCGTGGTGAGGTGCTTGGAGGAGATCTTGGCATCCAGGTCGCCCGGCTTGATCCCCGAGTACTGGGTCAGGTAATCCACCACCTGCAAGGGGAGGAGCACGTGCAGTGGGTGCTGGGGACAGCGGGGTAGGGAGGAGGGGCTGGTGGGGAGAGGGCCAGTGACACCTGGAGAATGCAGTGGGGGGAGGGGGAAGAGTGACCACCTGGTGGGGGCAGGGACACCTCCACTCAGCCAGGAGGGCTGTCTAGCTGGGGGCTGGACCTGGCTGTTCTCTGGGCGCCTGTGGGGTGCAGCAGGTGGCTGAGCGGGGCCGGTACCTGCTCCTGCGTGGAGATGTAGTCATCGATGAACGGGATGCCCTCGTTGGGGCCCTGGCCTCGCACGCACGTGATCCTGGCCACTGACATCTGGCTGGGCTTGATTCCACTCAGCCAGGAGGGCTGTCTAGCTGGGGGCTGGACCTGGCTGTTCTCTGGGCGCCTGTGGGGTGCAGCAGGTGGCTGAGCGGGGCCGGTACCTGCTCCTGCGTGGAGATGTAGTCATCGATGAACGGGATGCCCTCGTTGGGGCCCTGGCCTCGCACGCACGTGATCCTGGCCACTGACATCTGGCTGGGCTTGATGGTGGACTTGGTGCCGTCGCTGCGCAGCTCAGCCTCCTCCTGCACAAGTCAAAGGAGCCATTGGCAGGGGAAGGGCCCCCGCCCGCCGCCCCCCGCCCCCC